CTAAGGCAATTGAACAGGAACTGTCACATCATTGAACTGGAACTGACTCATTGACTTACTGAATATGAATTTGTTTGCCCATGTAAGTGATTTTCTATTTATTTTCTATTTATGGAGTAACCTTGAGAACTAAAAAAATACTTAATGTGAAGTCTAACTTTCACAATAACTCTTCTTCCTACAAACCTTCCTCTGGCAGTGATATTCCTAATAATTTCCTTTTTGAAATAATCAAAAACATTAAAGGTGGGGTAGGTAAGTTTGAGAAACCGGCTCGAGATCGCTAGAATTTGAAAATACACAACCGGAGAAAATCTGCCACTTCCTTATAGAGCCCCTCCTCCAACACACACGAACGCGCACATGACCAATGAGGGCACGAGATAAGTTTGTGCACAGATGGAAGGCTGACAGGCAGGTAGGCCATCCAGTTATTTTAGCCGGGCCGGCTAAAATGATTGGTCGTGCTTTTTACAGTGTTACGGCTTCCACAGATGAAATTTTTTTATGGATTTTTTGTCAAAGCACTTAAGATATTCATTGCTATCGGGATGTTAAGAGCATTCCATGGAATATAACAAAAAGTGTATCTCGAGCCGGTTTCTCAAACTGACCTACCCCACCTTTAAGCCTGCATGCGGCTTTCACACCAGCACTTTTCCCTTTCTAGCTCCGAGCGAGAGCTTTTCTGGTTCAGCTCCCGTTTCCCTTTTCAGCTCCCGCTCTGTTCACACCGCCCAGAGCTGCCGCTGCTGCGTCATGACGTCACAGTTTACGTCGCTGATTTTCTCCCACAACAACAACGGGCCGGGGACTGCGTCGGGTCGATGATCGTGTTGCTTTTAATCATACGAAGCCAGATTAAATTAAATAACGACTTCTCCAACCTTATACTTTTCTCCAGAGTGCCGTGGTTCATTGTTTATTAATGTGTTTCAGCGGCATTTACCGACCGCTGCAGTGCTGGCTGCTCTTCTACGGGAGTTTATTCTCCCGTTAGCTCCGGGTTAGCTCACACGGCTCTAAAGTATTCACTGTCTGACTGTCACACAAGCAGCTGATACATATCCCCAGTTCCCCTTAAGTGAATGTGTGTCAGTCTGAATTGACGCTGTTTGGCATCACAACGCTGTTAGGAAAGTTTCTCTGGTATAACATGGGTGATGTTAGCATAGCAACCGAAGCTAAACTGACTACTTGCTAAGCCGTTTTCTACAGGCACATTTTACCGGCGTATTTTTCATTATGATTCTACTTGTGATAGTCGGACATGACAACCTGTACAGCCCATGTATTAATTCCATCCGATAGCTGCTATAATAACAAACAAAACGTCTGCCTGCTCTCCACAATGATCAATAACAGCGAACGGATGGTCAAAGTAAGGTTTCCTGCACGCCTCAACGTAAGAGACGCCGCGTCATAGCTCCGAAGCTCTTGCCTCTGGACCGACAATTTTTTGGAGCTGGAAGTGAACCGCATTCCGGAGCTATGACGCGCCGCCGCTGCGGTGTGAACAGGAAAAACCGGCGCTTTTCCAGCTCCAGCTCCGAGCAGGAGCTGGAAAAGTGCCGGTGTGAAAGGGGCATCAGACAGTGGCGACTGGTCATTAGGGGCAGGTGGGGCACAGCCCCACCTAGTGTCAGCAGAAAGTATTACAAATAATGATTACAATTTTTTTTTTTTTAAATAAAAAAAAAATATATATATATTTTAAGATCATGGTTAATCATCTGATTCGTCTGTACATTGCTGTTTTAGTCTGTGTTCTTCTAATTAGTGTCTACAGTGTGTGCCTATTGAGCTGTTTAGAGCCATGTGGGACAAAACCTGATCATGCCCCTCCCTCTCACTGTCTAAGTGAACGGTGACTGTAAAAACTACACTGCGCATGCTCAGAGTATTTTCCTATTTAATGTGTGTGGCAAAAAAATAATGACCATAGGGGCACTGAGCTGCCATCCCCACCATACGTCATCTCACATAATTCAGAGCTGATTGGCTGTAAGTACGTGTGCCGCAAAAAGTGTGGTGTGTGAAGAGGAGACGAGAGAACTGCAGTGATGCGTCCTAAAACCAGGAAGTAAGCTGCGCATGGCTTCCCTCGACAAAAAAGCAATGAGATTTCTCCATAGGATTTTAGAAAATAGCTCGAAATAAGATCTGTGGGAAACGTACCTGTTAGATAAATGCACGTTTTGTTCAGCCGGATAATATCCACATGTCTACCCTACTTTTATAATTTTTTTATCATAAATCTATCGATTAGATTTATGATAGACTTTTGAAACTACGAGAAGATAAGGAGGACTTTTACAAAAAAGTAATAGAGATTTTTGTCCAGAAGGATAGGCAAATGGACTTCATCTTCAAGTCAAGGTAAGACCGCAATTTTATTGAAAATGGGATCTTACTAAGAGAGAACAATTCAATATTTAAATGATCAAATTACATTTTTTGGGTATCCTTTTGTTGAACTGTCTGTTTAAAATTAATCGAAGCATCAGACAAAAAAAGCTTTTGAAAATAATATTATATTTTGGTTTAGGTCAAAATATAATATTTGTAAACCTGAAGATTCAGTGCCAGTGCCTCACCAGCCATGAACCTCACTGCACGTCACTGCAGAAGCTTATATAGACATCTAAGTTTTTTGTGCCCCACCACTTTTGTACATATAAAAACGCCACTGCTCTTAGATCCTGTAAATGTGGAACTGTGTATCATAAAGAGGCCAAGGACAACACAAGGAGTGATCAAATGAGTTAGCTTCACTTCCAGCGTACAGTACATTTACAATATATTATTGGGTTACTAGCTTCACTGTTAGATTTCAGCTTATCCAGTGATGGATGAATTGTTTTTCACACACTTACATTGTACCTCACAAATGTATTTATTTAAAAAAAACATACCACACACAAATTAAATCTGCTCCTCAACACACATTGTATCGTGGTTGATTACATTATTTTGTTAAGGAAGTGGACATGACAATGTATCGGCTAAACAAGGATTATTTTGCTCAGGAAAAGAATACACTACTTTCAGAACATTGTGTACCTTCAAATGTTAATTTAATTAGCAGATTCGACTATACAATGATATTGGAAATAAGAACCCTTTATTCTAATAATGTGACATGAATATTATTATTGTTATGAGGAATGTAATAAATGATGACTTCTCTTTCAATATAACATTTATTCCAAATGTATTCCAAATTCATGCACAGACTCACAGCTGTACTGGTAACAGTTTGTTCTTAACTTAACATTATAATAACAGGCTGAAACTCCCTTTGAATCAGATTATTATAGATTTTTTTGATCATTTGGTAATGTGCATCTATCTCCTTTCTCCTTTCACAAACAGGAGTATTTCACCAAAGGCCATTGGGTATGCTAATGAAGAGAAAACAAATATTGAACACCATAAATTGTCAGCATCTTTCTTTGTGTTTACTGCACATTTGAGGCTTTTGCAAGCTTTTCATTCCAATGTATTCATCTTGATGTGATCTAAACATTCAGTGGATGTTTTGAGGCGATGGATGGAGCTGAGAATATTCAGATTCACAGGTATCGAGGGATGTGTCTGCTCTCATGAAGTGCATATCATAACTGCCAGGAGGAGGCGCTTATCTCACATTGTGCAGGAGCCTGACTGAGGAGCTGAATCACTAAACACTGTGAATATGTCCCCTGTTATCCTGCTCCTCTTATGATTTAGCTGCCCTGACATTACCACATTATGAATGACAATGGAGCCCAGCACAACAGAGCTGGAAATATACTCTTAGAAAACATAATAAAAAGATGAAACCCAAAGATATGACACTATTCATGCCATTTTCAGATCAGCAATTTGTCAAATAAACAATCTCAGCGGTTGAACTCAGACACTTGGAGTGCTGCTCTGTAAATCATACTGACAATAATGATAGTGGCACTTTGTTTTATATGGAGAGAAGATCTGTTCCCCACACTGACATGTTTATTTACAAGGGAGATGGATGCAGTCTTTATGATTACAAAGGGAAAGCTATGTTATTAGAGTATGATTACCATAATCTGTAAGTCTAGAGGCATTTGTTTGGAGGAAGTGGAGTCATATAATGTGTTGCTTAAAAAGGAAAAGCAACAATTAGACCTTCAGCTAATTAAAATCTGTCCCTCAATTCATAGTCAAGGTACTAATACTTGTTTTGTATTTGTTTAATTCATTTACCACATATATTGTAAGTAAATGTAGGCTACTTCGGCTAGGCTAGTTCATTTTGTGCTACTTTGTGCTTCTATTCAAATACATCTCAAAGACACATATTGTAGTTTTTACTGACAGCTATAAGTTACTAAGAATACATTTTTGCATTCCCTGTTTCAAGTAAATACCACACATCTCCAGATTTGGTGATCTCTAATTTGAATCTTTCTCAGCCCAAGGATCACATGTTTTAAAAAAATGTTCTAAGCAGTAATACTTCACATTGGCATAACCCTAAAAACCCAACTGCAAAAGGAAAAATTAACATAAAAGTAAGAAGAACTCAGATCTTAAGTAAAAGTAATAATACTGAATAATACAGAAATATTAACACTCTGCATTCAAAATGTTACTTGAGTAAAAGCACAAAAGTATTAGCAGCAACAAATATTTAAGAACCTCATCTAGAAACAGACCGTGACAGACACCTGAAGCTCAGAATGACTTGAGTTTTATGTGTTAACTTGACTTGAACCACAATCACAGCAATGTTCAAGTGGCAGGGGAGATGCAGCACACAGGTTAACAAGTCAAAACAGGCTGGCAGGTATCTGTGGAGAAATGAAAAGACATCTCTTTAATCACACTAACACTGTTTGCCATAGATGTGATGAAAGGCAGGCTGTGTCCAGCAGGAGGCGTACCGTTTGACTAACACTGGATTAGCCTCTGGCCAATGGTGATGCTCAGGAGATTATTGAAGCAGCTTCTAAAAAAAACACTCCACTCAATGCTCCACTCGCGTCAGTGAACAGCTCTTGGTGCGGAGTTCAGCCTGATGCATGCCATGACTGCTTTCTGCCGGATACTGCTCCTGTTATCTGGTAAGGAGAGTTTTAACTTTGTGGATAAACTCAAACTAGTGAGGAACTGCTTGATACGTTATTTTCATGGCACAGTGAGCTGCAGGTAAAAGCCTCAAGGAGGACACTACTTGTGTTGACATATGCGGTGGTGATTCAGTGGAAGTGTTATTCTAAGGGAGCAAATCCAAACAAATTCAATGTATTTTGCTCTACAACATGTAATACTTTCCCACCATTTCAAATCTGAGCCTGGTTCAGGTGTTCGGGCAGAGCAGAGGTGGGAAAAGTACTCAGATCTTGTACTTAAGTAAAAGTAGAAGTACAGACAGTACCAGAGTGTAGGAATACTCTGTTACAAGCAAAGGTGCTGCATTCAAAATGTTGCTCAAGTAAAAGAACAAAAGTATTAGAATTAAAAATATACTTAAAGTACAAAAAGTAAAAGTACTCACTATGCATTTTGGTCCATTTCAGATTATTATATATGATATGTTTTGATTTGAAAGACAAACACATATCTTAAATTATAAATCCCCAACAGTTAGATTACTTTATTGATTATTGATGCAGGGGTGTCAAACTCAATTTCATCTCGGGCCACATCAGCATTATGGTTGCACTCAAAGGGCCAGTTTTATATATAAGACTATATAAATATACATATATAAATATTTAATATATATAAAATAATGTATTATATTACATGATTGCCTCTGCATTGGATTATTATCAGATAGGGTAATAACTTCATCATTAACTACGTCTCAAAGCAGAAGTCTAGGGCAAATAATTGCAAGTCTCTTCAGTGAGAATGTCACAAAATGATTTAAAAAGAAAAGCCAAATTCTGAAAAGAAAAGTCAAAATCAATGAAAAGAAATGGAAATTCGAAAAAAAAGTAAAATTTTGAGAAATAAAAGTCACATTTGAGATGCATTGTGGGACATGTAGTTTATGGGCAACGTGCTTCTGTAAAGCGGCATGTAACCGTATAATAAACATATTATATTCTTTGCAAGCTCTTGTGGGGCCACATGAAGTGAAGTCACGGGCCGGATTTGGCCCCCGGGCCTTGAGTTTGACACTCTGCATTAAAGTGTTTATCAAAGCTGGTAAAGGTGCAGCAAGTTACTTTGTATACTGCAGGGTACCTTGTGAATTTACTCCAGGTGTAACTAAAGTCTGATTTAAGAGTTGATTATATTTCACATTATTATACCAAATCTGCTAGTAACTAAAGGTATTACAAATAAATGCAGTGAAGTAAAAGTACAATATTTACCTCTGAATTGTAGTGGAGTAGAAGTACTAAGTAAAATGAAAATATTCAATTGAAGTACAAGTATCTCAAAATGTTACTTGAGTACTTGAGTACATTCACTTAGTTACTTCCCACCTCTGAGGCAGAGTAAAGCTTTCTGGTGTGAGATGTGAGTCAGTGTAAAGTTAAGTCTTTTTTTACTACTTTACTGTAACTCCGGGGTTTTCAGAGGGACTCTAGAAACACATGCATGTGAAAAACAAATGAATACCTTTCTAGATAGTGGTTGCCACTAAGTTGGCTATTTATGTACTGTTTTTTTCACAAAATAAAATGTGATAGTGACGTATGATACAGAGATTGAATGATATGTGCATATAAGAATATCAGCACATCATACACATTGTAGCAGAGTCATGCAGCCTTAAAAAAATAAAGAAGATCCAGTAGCCATTTACTGTAGAAGTTGGAAAAATAACAGAAACACCTCTACAAAGCATACAATGTAACAGCACATCATCGTAAGTTATCATAATGGCAAAAACTAAGATGGCGCCGCAGATGGCCGCTTCTGTGTTTTGGTGCGCTTTGTTGTTCTTAATATAGTTCACTATCTGTGTACTTTTAAAATGTTTGTTTTAAATGTTTTATGTATGCACCATGACATCAAGTCAAATTCCTCGTACGTTCGAACCTACCATGGCAATAAACCCGTTTCTGATTCTGATTCTGATAAAGTTGTTTAACTCTTCTTGTTCCAACAACAACAACAACAACAACAACAACAACACCAACTGAGTATTATAATCTTCATGAAGGTAGAATTTACTGCTGGACTGTTGTGTCAGACTGTATTCATGTAGTCTACTGTAGGTGTACCTAATAACATGGTGTACAAATATAAATATATACCAATTTCAGTTTTTCACTACAGAATTGTCAAGGCCAAACCAACTTAAAGGTCCCCTATTATACTGTTTTTCATCAATGTGATGGAAACTTCTGAAGCAATGGAGACGAGACTCAGAGAGACACGAGGAGATGGCAAACTTGATGGTTTATTTGGAGCTTCGGCCGGAGAATTCACAAGACATATATCCGCTGTGTCAACTCGTGGCACACGATATGTGTATATTATACACATATCGTGTGCCACGAGTTGACACAGCGGATGCCAAACCAATTCTGAAGATCTCTACCCCAGACCCATGTATTTAGCTGGTTCTGAGAGAATAATCAACATGCTGCATAACAAGATAAAACAGGCAAAGCACTATAACACCAACAGGCAGGAACAGGGAGACAAAACACTGAGAGCATAGCACCCAAGGCTGCAGGTGCCTGAGCTCAGTGAGGTCAGTACAAACTGATAAACTGGGTCAAAGTTATGGGCCTTGGAAAAATATTATATATATAAATTATATTATAGGTCTCAGATATATACAAAAAATGTCTCTGAAGTATTTGGCTCCAAATACCAAACAGATCATTGTAGCATCCCATAAACCCCTCTGTTTCAGCCCTGTTTCAGAAGTGCTGACTCTGGGTCTGTTACTTTAGATGAAAATAAGGAGCCCCTCCCCACGCCCCTCTGAGAGATATTTGGTTAAAAAGAACACAATGGTGCTCTAGGAGGAGATTCAGGTGATTAGGTGGGGGGATGTTACCTTGGTTGGTTATTGGCTAATGGTTACACAACCCAAAACATCTTTATGACATCATAAAGTGGCCACAATCTGATCAGCTCATTTTCAGACAGGTTTTTATATAAATGGATCAGGACAAAAAGTGAGTGAATCTTTTTTCCTGAAACTTTCAGAATCTCTTTACACGGAGAAGACATGCTTATCTATAAAATACATGAAAAAGTGGATTTTGCATAATACATGTAGGTCCCCTTTAAAATACAAGTGTAGAAAGCTGGAGAGAGGAAAGTGTACACAAAGTGATATGATTGATGACTTGAGACGCCTTGGTTGTTTTCGTTATATTTAATTATGTATTTTTATTACTAACACAATATCAAAATACAGTTTTTTTTCAAAACTGGGATTTTGTGACACCCCTAAATACTACAAAGAAGTCTTGATTATGGCAATTGTGCTGGAGAGATGGCAATTTCTAGTATTGTGTCTACCCATGAATTTAACACCATTTTAAAACCTTACCATAAAAACACATCCAGAGAATATGGAATATTTGTGTTGTTTACGAGACGAGAGTTTGTTCCTCCTCTTTCTTCACTCTGCAGTGGCTGTGGCCCCTGCGGTGACGCGCAGCTCCGAGCGGACGAAGAGAGGCTTACTGGAGCTGGCGGGAACCATCAAATGCAGCACGGGGAGATCTGCTCTGGCTTACATGATGTATGGATGCTACTGTGGGCTGGGGGGGCAAGGCTGGCCCAGAGACAAGGCGGACTGGTGAGGCCTCGGCTTCAAATTCATTTTTAATCACACTCTTTTAAAAAACACTGTCTGTCAAGTCTGTGTTTTTATTTCCAAGGATATCTGGACACATGATGATAGTGTGTAGCAGGCTGTAAACATTCAGCTGTCCCTATAAATGGACTAACTATACATTATGTGATGCAAAGGATCTAATTCAGCCCTTCCACAGATCATGCCTGCACATTATTTCCTCCTCTCAGTCCCCCTCCATCCTGCTCCTGCACACACACAGTTTCCGTTTCCCAATGAGTCGTCTGAACCACAGATGCTAGCCGATGGGTTAAAAGGAAGGAGTGATGTTTAAATCGAGTAGACTCACATACTCCAATGGGTACTTCGAAATAAGCCCAAGAATTCCACACCCAAATCCTAATTGTCTCCTTTTTTCCTTCCTCACCGCAAGCCACCGAAACCCCCTCAAACCAGGGAACTGCTAACTATCTGTTGTGAAAACCTATGTGGTGATCCTGTCCTGCCTTTTAAAATAGCCATGGTGTGTTTGAAACCACAGTGCTGGGACTACCCACCTACTGCTTTTTTGGCCCTGCCTTGTGTAGTCTGGAGTTCAGCCTTCAAAATAAAACTCATATCATGTTGTCTATCACAGGTGTTGCCACAGACATGATTGCTGTTATGGAGATGCAGAGCTTCTTGGGTGCCAAACCAAAACAGACCAGTATCAGTGGAAGTGTGAGGACAAGGAAGCGGAGTGTGGTATTGATTTTTTTTGTGCTTATGCATGCATAATATTTTGTGTTTGTGGAAGTAAGACAGCTGCTGTACACATAATGTTCTGTGCTTGGGTAAATCTGAATGTGAGACACAGATCAGGCTCTGTTTGATGTACGGAAAAATCTATGAAAAACATTCAGCTGATTGGAGGGTATAGACAGGATGTTTGTAACATATATTTAAGCCCCCATAAACCAGGGTGATTCCTCTATTTAAATAGAAGCAGACTTAATAAGGTTTACACACTCAAGTACCAAAAATAGAGGCCTGTTGACATTCTTCAAATAACTCAATGTAGAGGAAATTATTATATCCACAATTTCTGTTCAGTAGTCACATTTACTCTCATTTTCAGAGAAGAAAATGATCTGTTAAAGGGTCCCTATTATACTTTTTAGGGATTTCCCTTTCCTGTTGTGTGTTATATAGGTTTCTGTGCATGTAAATGGTCTGCAAAGGCTATATTTCCCTTTTCCCACACACACACACAATTAAAAAATGTAAAATAAAATAAAAACAGAAAAAATATAGTAAAACATGGACAACTAGAAAATGCATTTCCTGCTGAAAATGCGTGCGAATGCAATAATCTGCGTATATTTATTGCTGAATTTAGCTGAAAAAGCTGAATATTTTATTACTTGAATGGTCTCTGTAGCTGCTTTTAGCTACAAATACCAAGTAAGTGTGTTGCTGAAATTAGCGGGAAAATGCAGAAAAGTGAAATGATTTGAATCAAAATTGTTACAGCTCAAATGCATTGCACTGACTTTGTTGAAAACTTGAAAGTGAAATGTTAAACTGGAAGAGTAGGAAAAATAGTGATGAAGCTTAATATTTCAAAGAAAAGTAAAAAAAAAAGGTATAACATCAAACTGTGTAGCCTCAATGTCCTGAAATAGCTGAATCATTTAATAGTTGAATGGTTTCTGGAGCTGAACGTATAGGCTGAAGGAGTTAGATATGTGGTGATTTCAACAGCATTCCACTATTTAGTGTGAATGCTGTTCAACAGCTGTGGAAGGAGTGTCATTTTGCACACGGTGTAGGTAAAAGAGGATTTTAAGTGTTGTCCCATAGACACCCATTATCAAATCTAAAACGGCCTGAAAATGTACCAAAACTTAAAAACTGTAAAAGATATCAAAAATCTGTATACAACTTTAATAGCTGAATGTCTTGTGATCATTTCACACACACAAGGGAGAACAAAGTTGGAATGAAGTATAGCTGAAAGTATGTGGAAGGAGTAGCATTTTGCACAAGGTGTAGCTAAAAGAGGATTTGAAGGTTCCTCCCATTGAGTTACATGTTAAAAAAAAGAGTTTAAAAAGCTGAATATTTTGAAAAAGTTGAAAAGGTTTTGAAAAAATGTAAAGTTTCCCATCATGTGCTGAGGAGGCTGAGTATTTTTGATATTTGAATGGCTTCTGTAGCTGAAAGTAGGCTGAAGTTGGGGGAGAGGAAGAAGAACGTTAAAGAAACAGAAAAACATTAGTGGAGTGCTGTCACACATGAATGCTGTCGCACAGCACTCCACTAATGATACCAGTGGGAATTGAAAGTTAACCCAAATAAAAACCACATTAAAAAGATAGGATTTTAATTTACTTTTAAACATTTCAACGGAGTTTGCTGTTCTAAGATCCACGCGGAGGCTCTTCCATAGTTTAGGGCCGTAAAAACAGAACGCAGCCTCCCCAGATCGCTTGTGTGATACCCTTGGGATTTCTAATAGCAGGGCAGTGGAGGATCTAATGGTTCTTGTTGGAACATAAAAAGAAAGGCAATCGCTGAGATAAGAAGGTTCTAGGTGATGTAAGGCTTTGTAAGTTAATAATTGGACTTTAAACTCGATACTAAAAGAAACAGGTAACCAGTGGAGTGATGCCAGCACAGGGGAATTGTGATCTCTTTTTGTGGTGCTAGTTGAATAAGGCTAGACTTGTTTGTGAAACGAACAGCCAGGGAGAATGCATAAACATTAACACAATGTTGTTGAGAAAACTTTAAACACTTAAGGAAGACATGTGTGTTCTTTATTGCAGATGATCTGGAGGACAAATGTGAAAAGATGCTGTGCAAGTGTGACAGAAACGCTGCCAAATGTTTGAGAAAAGCACCCTTTGATCGAAAATATGCCCTCTGGCCAGATTTCCTCTGTGGCCACAACCATCCAATGTGTAGTATTTACTGACACAATATTCATTTTGTATTTTTTTTAATATATATTTGTATTGAGTCAGGCACAATGAGTTACATTATAGGGTCTATATTCTTCCCTCCCCCCTCCCGGTCCTACATAGTAAAGTAGATAAATAAATAAATACATATATAGGTAATAATAAAGTAATGTAAAAAAAAAGAAATACACACATACACATACACATATACATACATACACCCATACCCACACATTTACATATACATATACATACACATACACATACATACACATATATACACATACACATACATACACGTACGTACATGTATAATAAAAAATAAAAATACATTCATAGTCACCCCTTCCTTCTTAACTTAGTGTCTTTAGTTCAGCTATGTAGGCTATCGCAGAGCCCCAGACAGATTCAAATATTTCTGATGAGCCCCTCAGGTTATATTGAATCTTCTCCAAGTTCAGATACAACACAAGATCTTCAAGCCATAAAGAGGCTTTAGGTGCTAACGAGGATTTCCATTCTAGTAGTATTCTTCTACGTGCTAATAGAGATGCAAAGGCTATACTGCCCTTAGTTTTCGTCCTCATCATTCGGTGGCCAGGTAGTACTCCAAAAATGGCAGTTTCTGCACAAGGTGTCAATACCACGTGCAAGGCCTCAGCAAGGCGTTTGAAAATGCTTGTCCAGTATCAGTATTTACTGACACAATACAAGTGCTGTTCCTATGTGCCTTTTGTAAATAAAGCATTTAACATTAATCATGCTAATGGCATAAATATCTGACTTGTATTGTTTTTCTTTACTGTTATCAGACTCTTGAATTAAACTTGAAACCGATAAGGAAGTGTGTATGGGGTGATATAGAGTTTTTGCAGACACCCTGTCTTGACACCAAGCTGCAGTAGAATCACACTATGAAAAGGCAACTTGAGCATTCCTCTGCCGAAACTCAGACAAAACTCAACCCGGATGTCAGATGTTTATCCGGGAGGGAACGGTCAGATAGCTGCTGCTCACAACAACAGAACTTTTATTTGTTGAATTACTGTGCAGGGCATTGCCCGAATTAAAGCTCTGACGTTGACTCAGCTTTTTTCTGGCTAGTGTTGATTCAGTGGGGGTTTAAAAATAGGGTTATTGGACATTTGGAAAGCCAATGTGCAAACTGAGGTTTTCCTACTTTGCTATTTTTAAAATCTGCTGTGACACTTTCTTTCCTTTTTTACCACCAAAACCCATGTATGAAATATTGTCGCTGCAGGTCTTACATGTTCACTTCCTTTAAAGGCATTAGAGTTCCACTACACTCTTACAGATTGTAATACTTAAAATAACTTTTCACCACGGTCAATAAATAGCTATTAAGTGATCTCATGTGATGTCATTAGCTGTTCATCATCACTTGGTTATTATATGATGTCTATAGACATTGGCCTGCAGATGGTGCCATATTCACAAATAATACACTTGAAGCCCACTGACACAACAGGAAATATGCATTTATGGAAACATCCTTGCACAATAAGAGTCTTAATATGACTAACGTTAATACAAAATATATTATTTAAATATATAAAAAAAGTGATAATGCATTGAAGTTCCTTGTGGCCTGTTGTTGACTGAGTGTTTGAATGTTTACATGCACTAAATTAGATTTATTTTGGTCCAGTTGGTTTTGGGTTTGGCTTGGGAACCTCCCCAGTGAAAGTCCCACTCTCAAGTCCAAACCCCATTTCCCCTCTGACACCCAGTAAACATGACCACCCGGCTGTAATCAGAGAAAACACAGCCCTCCCAGATGTGACTGCTCAAGTGAGTTTTTACACTGCGAAGCTCCGTCCGTGAGTTCACACGGGAAACTCAGTTTCTTTGTTGAGTGAGTGCACCGCTCGTGAGTGTGGACTGAAATGGGAGATGATGCCGTGGTGCAGTGTCCAAAGCCCGGGACTGGAAATAAGTATCTGGGTCATGGCCCACAAACACTTGCCTGATTGTGTCCAACCTTCAGCGGGCATGAGCTGTGAAGTTATGGAAGTCATACGCCTCAATCCGAGTCCCACTGTCCTGTTAAAGTGTGTTGTTCTACTTCTGTTCAAACAAGAAGAAAAAGGTATGGAAATGCAATTAATACAACCAATGTGTAGTTAAAGTAATAATTATATGGAAGCCATCAACTGCCATGTTTTTTTCCCCTCCCTTTTTCCAATGATAAAAGTTCGCATTTATTCTTTTTCTCAAGATCACAAGTTATTTATGTGATTATCTCAAAATATAAAAATGATCTTTCCCTCTCATTAAAAGGTAATGACAATCGTTCAAGTACTTTATTTCCTCCGTCAGTACATTTTTGTTTTCAAGATGAAAAGTTATTTATGTCATTATCTGGAAATACCAAATGTTGTTTTACCGAGATGAAGAGATACGGTCCTATCATGTTTAGTTAATGAACTGTTTTCTTGTGATCTCAACAAACAAAATTAATGTTCTAACCATGGCCTTTCGGGGCTTCCGTAACTTGTAAACATCTTGTGTTGTATAAAACATCTTGTGTTGTATAAAAAGAAACATTAACTAACTTTTTTATGGAAGCCATCAATGGCCATGACATTTTCTTTTTCAGTTTTTTTCCTTTTTGTTGTATCTTGTGATCAATAATTGTATGTCCACAACATAAGAGTAGATTTAACTGGGTTTACTTTGGTAACATGCTTCCGGGACTTCCTCGTGGGAACATGTACAACAGGCTCTTTTAATACCAAGAGTGAGTTTGCCCCCTGCTGGACAAACACAATAACATGTAATAATAACACAAGGTAAGATACCACATTTCCCCCCCTTTAAGCTAACAATACTTCCCGAAGGTGGGAGTATAACATACTCCCGTTACACAACATTTCGAGGTACTGGCATGAACCATTTCACTTTCAAAGATTAACATTCTAAACCTTTCCTTAAAGTGAGATCAGAGAACTATGCTGCTCTATTAATGGAACATCTCTTGATCTATTTAACAAAGTCTTTCAGGTATACAGGTGGCTGTCTCTCGCGCTCTGATCGTCTCACCACGGGTGTAGCAGGCAAGTCCGGCGGGCCCGGAGTACACAGAACCACTGGCTCACTTGCAGGAGGTCCTTCTTGCTCGATTGTCACTGGAACCAGAGTGTCTCTGTTGGAGTCCAGCACCGGCTCTAAGGGCACGGTGTCTGTTAATCTGGCTCTTACTTGATCCACATGCCGCTTCACGACTTGACCACTTCCAATGATCACTGTATATGACACTGGACCTGATGAGCTCTCGATGACCGCAGCGATCCATTTAGGTCCATAAGAGTAGTTTCTGATGAACACTTTATCCCCAGGTGAGAAACTTCTCAGTTTCCTGTTTGTGTCATGGGACTGTTTCTGTTTTAGTTGTTTTTGCTGCACTCTTGTTTTCACATCTGGCAGGAGCAGGTCTAATGCAGATCTGAGTCTCCTTGACATCATCAACTCTGCAGGCGACAGGCCTGTGGTCGCGTGAGGTGTGATGCGGTAACTGAACAGAAACCTTGACAGTCTAGTTTGCAATGTTTCACCTTTCATCTTTTTCATCCCCCCTTTGAAGGTCTGGACCGCCCTCTCTGCCAGCCCATTAGAAGACGGGTGAAACGGTGCTGACCTCACATGGCGGATGCCATTTTGTTTCATGAAAGTCTCAAATTCAGCACTTGTAAAACAGGTTCCGTTGTCTGACACCAACATTTTTGGCAGTCCAAAAACACTGAAACTCTGACGCAGCTTTTCAATGGTCACCTGTGATGTAGCTGACTTCACTGGATAAATATCCATCCATTTTGAGTGAGCATCCACTATCAGTAGAAACATCTCTCCCAGGAAAGGGCCTGCATAGTCCACATGAATTCTCGTCCAGGGAGACTCCGGCCACTCCCAGGGATGCAATGGTGCTGATGGTGGTGACTTGTGGTGCTTTTGGCACTCCTCACAAGACTGCACTTCCTTTTCTACATCCTGGTCCATCCCCGGCCACCATACATAAGATCTAGCCAGACCTTTCATCTTTGACATGCCGGAATGTGTTTGGTGCAGTACTTTCAATATCTTTTCCCTGCCTTTGTTTGGTACGATGACTCTGGCTCCCCAGAGCACGCAGCCATCCCTCACACTCAGTTCTTCTCTCCTCTGATGATACGGCTTGAGAGGAGTCTCAGTCACTGAAGGCCATCCCGACAGGACATAACCATGAACTTGAGACAATATTACATCCTTAGCTGTCCAGTGTTTTATTTTGGCTGTGTCCACGAGTGTGTCATCCAGAAGATCAATCATGAGCACTTGTTCTGCGGTCTCACTCTCTCGCACATCTTCCGACAGCGGCAGTCTGCTTAATGCGTCCGCATTAGCGTTGTTCTTTCCTGGTTTGTACACAATGTGATACTCATAGGCACTCAGGTGCACTGCCCATCTCTGAACTCTCGGGGAACCCATCTGTGGAATGGGTTTCTTTTCGTTGAAGAGAGAGATCAGTGGCTTGTGATCTGTATAGATGGTGAAAGTTCGACCATACAAGTACTTGTGGAATTTCTTGATTCCAAATATAACTGCTAAGCCTTCTTTGTCTAGCTGTGAGTAATTCTTTTCAGCAGGCGCTAGAGTACGCGACATGAACCCCAAAGGACGTTCAGTTCCATCGTCCATTACGTGTGATAAAACAGCGCTCACCCCGTAAGGTGACGCATCACATGACATAATTAACTCTCGGTCAGCAGAGTAATGCACCAACACTTCTGCTGAGTTTAACAGGGCCTTTGATTTTTTTAAAAGCCTCTTCCTGTTTCTTTTGCCATGTCCATCGCACATCTTGTCGCAGGAGCTCATGCAGTGGTGCCAATAGTGTAGCTAAGTTTGGCAGAAATTTGTTATAGTAATTTAGCAAACCTAAGTACGACTTGAGTTCAGTAACATTTGTGGGGTTGGGAGCCTCCATGATGGCTTTGACTTTCTTTTCCACAGGGTGAAGTCCCTGTGCGTCCACTCGATGACCCAGATATTCCACTTCCTCTTCCAGGAAAGTGCACTTGCTCCTTCTCAGACGCAATCCTGCCTCCTCCAGCTTTGCCAACACTGTCTCGAGGTTCTGCAGATGGTCTTCCTCATCCACACCGCTCACCAGGATGTCATCTAAATACACT